TCTACATGTTTCGACATTACAACGTCATTTTGATGTCGAAACATGTAGAGTCGTCAACTTTTTGAAGGCCATAGATAGGCCTAAATAAAATGTTTTTAATTGTGTACCAGTTTAACGTTGAATATTATTTATGATTTTAATTTTATACACAAGTGCCAAAATACTATAATAATGTTTACTTGTTAAAAGCTAACAAACATTAAAATACAACTATTTTAGAGGAAAGTTGTTCTTTCAAAGATTGGTTAATCTCTCCTCTACCGATTCTTCACCTACGTGACCAATTATCTTTACGTGATATTTCCTGGTTAAAAGTCTGTTGTTTTTTAATGTAGAAAGTATTTTCTGGTATTATGTTACAAACGTGTTTTTCTAACATTACTCTGTTTACCTGGGCTCAACCTTCTTGGTTTTAAAAGTTTATTCCCACCTGTAATAATTACACTTATTCTTTCAATGTCAATTTTCCCAGTGCCAGATTCATATTTACATACACAATAAAAAAATATATAAATTTTGTTGCTTGTTTGAAACTGATGAACTTTGGGAAGTTTGTGGGGGAATACCCCTTTCTTTTTATGTTGGTACAAAAGTCCACATGCCCGTGGAAGTGCATTAGAAAGAGACGTACATGTTTCCATGGCAATGAACAAGTCATTGTTAAATATGATTTCTACTTCTTTCTTTGGAAAAAAATAATTATTCATTGTAAATAATTTTTATCCGCAAAATAACAACATGAACTGATCTTTAAAAAAATGTACATTGTCGAGTAAATACTACGAAAGCTTTTAAAACCCAATCATTTCCGAGAGCATCCACTAAAAATCTTTTAAAAATAAGAAAACCATCACTACCAGAAAATGCAGGTGTTTAAAATGCTTATAAATTTTAAAAAATGCCCAGTGGAATAAAACTAAGTTAACGTGAAAAATATATTTCTTCACGGAATAAACGGACTTTCGTCAGCACGGGGTTCTAAAAATGTTTCAGCTAGCACTAAACAACAACAACAAAAACTAAAACATTATTTTCTATAGTAACTACAAAGGAAGAAATAAAAACATTTAAAAATTCCAAATAAATAATTTGTCCACTATAGCTCTAAATCAGAGGTGGGTAAAAAAATAGCCTTTCAGATCTAACTTTTGTCTTTAATAATTTGCTTACCCAACAAGCTTTACGTAACTATAGTAGGCCTAACGTTTATACTGTTTCATCAAGGCACTTTTTGTTTGAAAAATGACTTTTCTATTGCTTTTATGCGATAGGTTTGATTATGGGAGTTTGGTAGGCATAACGAATATATATATATCGATTTTTACAAAAACTTATTTCTAAACATTTCGGTAATTTACAATCTATGGAAAATTTTAAGTTGACAACCTTAACATAGCTTTACTTGAACTTGAAGAACAAAATTCAGATCTTTCACGCTCCACCAAACTTTATATTACGCTTAAGTCCACAGATGTTTTAGCATTTATTCTAAACCGAACCACAATTTGCTGAAAATTACTGAATAACTAATAACTTTCTGCAAATATTTTTATAAAGTTTATAAATTTAAAGTCGACCTTTATGGTAATATCGCCCGTAATCAACGTCTCAAAACCACCCTGTTCTTTATTTGACTAGATTACGTATGTAGAGCGCCACATAGCGCGAGAAGACTTAAAATGATAAAGTTATGATTGAATAAAAAATAGTAATTTAATTAGATTCCGACAAATCATACACACACATAAAAAAATGCTGCTTCACTCCGTGCATAAAGTTAATTTATATCCATAGCCAACACACGTGATTTTTTTTAATCAACTCATAACGATAACATTTCGACACCTTGGGTATAACATGTGACATTAATTTCTGTACACTGTAACTTTATACTGCACGCAAGCAAATCAAATTTACGCTTTCGCCATATTAATCAAACTGAAGTCGTATTTAGTTCTACAAGCGGAGGGCGAAGCAACTATAGCAAACCCTTACAATATGGCTACTAAAGTCAAACAAAATAACACTTAATACATTTAGGCCTCAATCATGTATTCTACCCATTGAGATTCTTCTAAGCCACCAGAGTCTTAGCAACTAGGCCTAACAGGCTAACGTTTATAATTTATTGTCCATTAATTTCTTCGACTTTTTGCAAAAATGGATGACACGCCCTCTCACGGCGTCGGCAAATTACTTTTACATTAGATTAATTACATATGTGATCTAAAAATTCAGTATAAAACTTGCGACAATTGTAGTAGAGGAAATAACTTAAAAGCGAGTGAAATATTTAGGCACAAAAAGGAATGTTGAAATAAATACTCTTTCTCGAAGAGCGTAATAACTATTAAAACCTTTGATATTATTATTACACGCATAATCTACCAACAATGATTAAAAAAATACTACAGATTTTCCTACTAAGTCAGCGGAACTGAAGAACGTTAAATTTTAAGCGAATTGTTTGACTAAGTCAACAATGGTGGTTCATATCTAGATTAACAGCTTATAATTTTCATTGTACCGTCTTCGACATTATTAAAGTGAGTGAATGTTATCTGTTCAACTTGTCAATTCATTTAGCGGTTAAAATTAATGTAAACATGCTCAGTTATACTTCTCTCGGTCGTTAAAGGAATTTTGACGAGATAAATAGAAATATGGGTATGAAAGCCAAGTTCACAATCTAAATTATGCACCTTAAACTAGCTCAATTAGGCTTAAACTTATTATGTTTATACCTTCTTCCCCCCATTGGCCAAAGAGGGACCCATGGGCGCCCACAGAAATATTTTCAGGCAAAACATGTATATAGGGGATCAGTTTTTACAGCGCAAGTCAACGGAATAAACGAATGTGTATTACGTGATCTTAAACGCAAACAAATTTACAGTTTTAATAACAATTACAAAAAATATTTAGTTTAACTACGATGATAAGTTTACATCTCAATACGTGCAATTTGCGGTGAAATGTAAGTGGGGGGGGGAGTAAAATGCCCCCATCTTGAGGGCACCCATGGAGGGACCTGTATGGACACCTACACTTCTGTTTCACTTTTCTGTTAAGAAGTCTTTCATACTAGCAATACGAAAATATAAATAACATATTTCTTCCAAAACAACTAATAAATGGTCAGACGCAATGGACACTAATTGTTAAATCAACATCTGGGACCTGAACTAAAGAAATCCACCAAAAATTAAATTTTCAAACGACAGTTTGAACACCTCAATCAGATAACGTAATGAAGAACGAATATGTATGTTAAAAATCCAACAAAGGATTTATGATGGGTTCAAAATATACAACTGGTATATATTTTTCAGTACTTTAAACAGCTTGTCAGCCTAAATAATTCATAAGAATAAATTAGTCACGTCACTGCTGCATATAAACGAATTTCCTATATAGATTCAGGATCGTTTTTTAAATAAAAGACATTTCAAAACACCAATTACATATAAACACTCAACCACTATATAAAGCCAAGTTTTAGTTTTTGTTTAGGGTTACTTATATTAAAAAGAGTGGAATTCCGCGAAATCGGTTTAACTTACTGAGAGATGGTTAATTAAATAATAACTTGGACTTTACATTCATTTTTAACCGTTTTAACCAACTGAATTGTTTCATCTTAAGATTAGATATTTTTTATTGACAGTAAGATAAAGGAACTATTGTGAGAATGAAATGTTTATTATTTGCTCTTACTTCACTGGGGTTAAAACGTAGATGTTTGGAGCTTTCTAAATCTTCGGTATCACGTAATTTTAAAGGCAATAAGTATACAAATGTAATTATTGGGTGTGAATTTTTCTTCTCCCCACCATTTTGTTTTTAGGTTATTAATGACGAGTAAAGGACTTTTAAATCAAACCACGAATAAAAATACATATCTAAAAACAGAACATGATGTTAGAAAAACGCGTAGGTTAAAAATATCTTCAAAAACAGAACATGATGTTTGAAACACACGTAGGTTAAAAATATGTCCAAAAACAGAACATGATGTTAGAAACACACGTAAGTTAAAAATATCTCCAAAAACAGAACTTGATGTTAGAAAAACACGTAGGTTAAAAATATATCCAAAAAAAACAGAACATGATGTTAGAAAAACACGTAGGTTAAAAATATATCCAAAGACAGAACATGATGTTAGAAAAACACGTAGGTTAAAAATATATCCAAAAACAGAACATGATGTTAGAAACACACGTAGGTTAAAATATACCTAAATACAGAACATGATGTTAGAAAAACACGTAGGTTAAAAATATCTCCAAAAACAGAACATGATGTTAGAAAACACGTAGGTTAAAAATATATCCAAAAACAGAACATGATGTTAGAAAAACACGTAGGTTAAAAATATATCCAAAAACAGAACATGATGTTAGAAAAACACGTAGGTTCAAGTTGTCTTAATAGAAACGAATTTCTTCCAAAAACAGAACAACGTTCTTATCATCAGCAGAACCAAGTTCGTTTTTGATAAAAAAAACAACAAAGAAAACATTTATACAAGTTTATAAGAATAACTCTATATCATCAATCCATGAAGTAAAACTAAAAGACAGAAAATAGAAAAGTTATAAAATATGAGAAAGCCTAAAATATTTTGATTTACGTTTCAGAACCTGTAATTTTCCCACTGCTTTTGCGAAAGCTCTTGATCTGTTAGATTTGGAAATAGTTCAATTTCCTGAGGATATTCCTCCAATAATAAGGCACTTACCGACACACCAACCTGACTGGCTGAAATCTCCTTTAACCCAGTCGGTATCTAGGCGACCCTCAACGTGGTAAAAACTTAGTTTTACCCTAAACTTGCGGTATCCTGATAGATTTGGCGGAAGTAGATTCAGTTCGACCACAGGTCCCTCTCTCAATCACTGGCCGGGTAATGGCAAAAATTCGATATCTCGAACGAAAGACTGCAGCATGGGTAAATTCTCGAACTTGCTTTGTACGTCTTTACTTACTTCTGCACGCACGCTATTCACGAACCCACCTCTTTCAACCGCACTACCTTCCCTACACGAGGTAATGTCTAACAAAGACTCTCCCTGCTTCAGCTGCTGTACCGTCTGTTGGACGGTGCCAATGTCAAAAAGGGGTATGATCAATGGATGAAAGAGGAGTAAACTATTTAACATTGCCATTGGTTTCAGGATCTTTTGTTCAAATAATTTATGTTAACGAAATTATTACTTTTATATTATTTTTTTTTCATTACTTACAAATGAAAATAATCATAATAATATGATATTTTTGATTAACTAAGTTCACCGTGCCCTATTTCAACGTACAAAAAGTATATATTTCATTTTAAGATATTTGAAAATAACCGTCAGATTTTGTATATAACATTGTAAGTAAAAATAATGGCCCTAAAAAAAAGGACACTTTTAATATATTTTATTTTGTTATATTGTTTAAAATGTAACCGTTTCTGAAACTAAACAATAACCTAAAATTCGACAACAACGACTCCCCCCTCGAGGAGTATAGTGAGCAAACGTGATTAAATATTAATAAACGTTGTTGTACTACATACAATTCCTAAATGAATCTGTGCTACAGAAGCTCAGTAAACTTAAGTGGTTAGGCTAAGATATAGCTTTTGGTTATGTATATCTGTTGAATACTGTTTCGACGTTTAATCTTTCATGATATGGAAAGTGATAAAACGGAACACTACTATTGTTACAATGTAACCAAGACAACCTCTGGACAAAAGGAATGTATTATCTTACTTAGTCGTTCGTCACGTCATCACAACAAGATGGCTTTAGACTCGAAACGAAGAAAGAGCCAGCTAGGGTACTTATTTATCAATCATTTGCGAGTTATATTGTGCTAAAAACAACAACAACAACAAAAAAGTCTCACTTTAAATCGCTTGGTTGTTGCAAGAAACTGCGTACAGGCGGATAAGAGCGCGTGAATCTTTACGCCAGCTATTTAAACCACATAAGACTTTTTTAATGGTGTATACGATTAAAACAGACAGATTTCATTACGTTGCACGTCTTCCAGCGAAGTAAAACCAGATCATAAGTTTTTGGAAATATGTCTCTTGATGAGCCTATCACACGTTTCTGCCTTTTACATTCGACGTTAGGTGATTTTCTGCCTTGGGTAGTAATATTCAACGTTGTTACGTTATTGATCCTTTCTAATATACTCGCGCGCGCTCGTTCTCCTGCTCATACACATGCAGATAAAATACTTGTTAATTTTTTAATCACGTGAAAAAAGCAAAACTCATTTCCTCAATAGGGACTCACCCACGATTTATTCAATACGCTTGACTAAAGAGCGTAGCGTCTCTCGTTTACAGAACTTTACATCATTTGGCGAATTACGTGAATGTTAATAAGAACGCTTGACTGAAGAGCGTAGCGTCTCTCGTTTACAGAACA